TCTTGCTAATCTATATGCCACAGAAGAGCAAAATTTTATCTAAATTGATACTGCATAAACTTTTTATAAGGCATAGGGAGCGCATGATTTTTTTTTATTGTTTGCCCATACAATTGGTAATGGATGGTAACTTAATAAATTTGTGTGATATAAAAGTAGCGTATCATGTTCCACCACTTGATGTTATCCCTTCCCTTTTCTGCAAAGGTACTATTGGCTGGAAGAAAAACATTTTGGGTAGCTTTATATGACAATAGTCTTTCCCTATATAGTTTTTCTATAAAAACTGGTTTTGTAATCATGAGTGGTAAAGGGCAGGTCAAATCAAGGTGGATGAATCTTAAATTGAATACACCTGCCTGCCATCGCTGTTCCTTCAACTGAGTGCTGCACATCATGGGCTCTGTCTGTGAGAGAAAAATCCCGGTGCTTGGTGTCCTTGCATGACATGGAGTTTTGCATGTAGATCGATTTAAAATGTACCTCTTGTTTACATAATTTGCATAATTTTAAAAGATAATGTTGCCAAACTTTGGAAATGTTAATGTTCAAACTGAAAATCTCCACTACATGTAACTTTCTTCCTCTGGATCAGTACGTGGCTTACAATCCCAGCCAGTGGTTTGATCTGTTCCAGTGTCAACTGCCATGTGCTCTGCTTCAAGGGGGAACTAGTCTTTTGTGAATTTTTTGTACATAATTATTTGTTACCAATATTTTAGCAAATGCTTTCTATTTCTCTTGCTTGTGCATATCTTGGCTGGCGTTATAGAAAAATAGTGCAAACATTATTTCCTTACTTGGGAATGAGGGGTTTTCTTTCCCTTTTTTTTTTTTTTTTCCTTCCTCTTTTTTAGTTTGTGTGAAGGGTGGGCAAGGGAGGGGGTGGTTTATGTTGAATGTTTAGTTTTTCTTCTGCATGATACGTCATGTTGTGGGATCTTTAGAAAACTTCATACTGTATGAATAAGAAAATAAAATATTTGAAACTTGCTTGAATGTTTCCAGTGGTATTTGATAGACTTACACAGCTCTCAGTTTTTCTTCCTTCTTTTATATTTCTTAAAAGCTCTCATAAAATGATGTTTGATTTTTCACTTTAATTCATAGGTAAAATTTATCTGCTTTATTGCTGGGTAAAACAGCAGGTCGTTAGAAAGCCCTATAGTACTCCCCCATCATTACTTACCTAATCTGTCAATATTTACCCTTTCTCCAGGCATCTTAGCCTCGTTGTAGTACCTGGGGCTTTCAGTTTACTCTCATCTTTTGGTCACCAATTTAAAAATACACATACCCCTGGTCTCCTTTACTCCACTCGTCCTCCTAGCCCTATTTCTGACATGGTTATGTATTTTGTCTTCCTTGGCTCTAGAATAAATTGCATGAAAATTCCACCAGATTGGTGATTTGTCTCTTTTTCTGCCGAGAGCTCCAATGGTTCTTATTACCTAGTTTTGTAGTGTTGGCTGGATATTTAATAAATGTGATCCCATTTATTAAATGGGATTAAATGGTTTGTAATTTTATGTGATTTATAGTACTTTATCACCCTGCAATAAATGTGAAAATTAGTATTTTTAAGACTTTAATTCAACAACTATAGAGTCCCTTAATATACATCACTGTATTAGGTACTTCAGATACTCTTGGAAGGTAAATGTTATCCCTGGCCTAGCTAAGTTATGGAACATTAGGTATGTTTTACACCTGAAACATCCATATTGTCAGGTACTCACTAGTTATGAGAGATTTATACATTGAGTTCTATGTGGCTCCTCCATATCTGAGGTGTATAGAATAGTTCATCCTAAGCAAACGTATGCATTTAAGCCCTCGATCTCCTTTATCAGATTTCAACTGTCTTTTAAGTGTAGACAGGATATCTCTCCATTAAGTAAAATGGCAACACACATGGGTAGGAGAAAATACTTGCTAACCATGTATTGGAGGTATTGAAAAACTACTAAAAACCTAATTAAAATAATAGTCAAAGGTCTTGAATACACATTTCTGCAAAGATATAGAAATGACCACTAAACACAAAATGTTGCTTACCAGCACTAGTTGTGAAGGAAATGCAAATTAGTCAAATGAGATACCATTTACTAATTGTAATAGATGGAATATCACAGGGCTAGGGTTGTGGCTCAGTGGTAGAGTGCTTGCCTAGCATGTATGAAACACTGGGTTCAATTCTCAGCACCATAAAATAAATCATGTTCATCAAAAAGAGAGATGGAATATTACAAAAAGGGAATGAGTTGAGAGGATGTATAAAAATTGAAAGACGACAGTTACTGCTGGTGAGAATGTCAAATAGTACAACCACTGTGGAAAGGAATATGGCATAAACTCAAAATATTAAACAATTTACTATGTGATTCAGTAATTCCACTTCTGTGTACATATACCCCAAAGGAATAAAAGCAGGGACTCAAGTATATATTTGTATACCTGTGTTCTGGGCAGCATTATTCATAATATTCCACCAAAAGGTGAAAGCAGCCCAAGTGTTCTGCAGATAGAGAAAAGGTGGTATACAATGGGATTTTTGCCATAACAAGAAGGAAAACTTGACACGTTATATAACATGGGTGAATCTCAAAGATGTTAAATGAAATGTGAGATTCTGGACAAAAAGTAAGAAAGAAAGAATGGTGGCTGCCAAAGGCTGGGGAGAGAGAATTAAGAATGTTAAAATGATGGGTACAGTTTCAGTTGCAAAAGATAACAGTTTTGGAGATTGACAGTAGTGATGGCTGCACAACAGCGTCAGTGAACTTTGTCACCCAATTGTATGTACAATCAAAAATGGTTTAAAGTGGTAAGCTATTTTAGAACTTTTTTTTTTTTAATAGATGGTAAGAGAATTTCTATCTTTCGTACTTTTTAGAACTTACTAAGAAAATGGTGTTCAAGCTCAGGCCTGAAATATTCTTAGTCTTCAAAGATTCCCCACACTAAAAAATTTCCCCTTGCATTAGCTAAACATTTAAGTCCACTGCTATTTCAATCTTTCACTTCCATTGGGCATTAGAATCTATCAGCTAACCAAATCAAATGGGTGAGTCCTTGATCTCTCAAGCCTTCTATAGAATTCATTGGTTTCTCTGACCAAAGAAATAATTGATTTTTCACACAAGTATTTTATAAATTATAGAATGGTTATGTGTGTGGTCACTGTATACTTTGAGAAATCTAACATTAAACATGCTTCCCATCTTAACATAATTAATATGGCTCTAGGACCAGGAAAATCAGGGCTATTTCTCACATGATCAACAAACATTAGGTTTCTTACCTACCATCATAGTTCCAGGCAGCCTAAGAGTTGGAGCCCAAGTCTTCTGAAATGAGGAGAAAACCCTCAATCTCCTCCCTTAGCCACAGAATACCTAAGAAAATACTCCTGGGCCCATCCCCCAGGCACGTATTAATTACATCAGTAAACTAATAAATCAGAATAGGAATTGTGATAAACACAACAAATGCTATAGTAATGTGGATAAGCCTGGATAAGTTTTGAGATTAGACTTAGTGCTCTGCCTTAAAGAGAAGGGTTTAAAGTGATTTGATCCAGGGTGTTGAGATCAACTACCAGTGTGATAGTCAAATTTATTATCTTCATTCTTTCTTCATCCATTTCTATTCCAACAATCAGCTACCCTCTAACATGCTGTCTCCCTTTAAGACCCAAAGTGCTACCCCATCCCCCAGAAGGGGTGTGATATAAATTCTTGACTAAAGAGGAGCTCAAAACAAGTCTTTTAAGTTCAGCATCCCAAATTTTTATAGATACCAAGGAAACATGTTTGCTCTATTGTATTACTGATAGTTGCAACTACATAATAAATCCTTAAAAGGAAGTATATTCTAACAAAACCAAAACATCATTTCACTTTGAGAACCCAAAGTTTTCTAATCAAAATTATGCCCTTTACTTCCTGCCTCAGTTCCTTAAAAACTAACACAAAACATTAATGCCTAAAGACTGTACAGGCTGTTGGGCTGGGGTTGTGGCTCAGCGGTAGAGCACTTAAAAAAAAAAAAGTGTACAGGCTGCAGTAATAACAAAGTCCCAAAATACACTTCAACAAGGCAAGTAAAGGATTGTAATACCTACACATACACATTACCCATGCCAATGGGTGGGACACACTCAACAATTTCCAGCTGGATTCTTGGTTGGTTAAGAATATTCCAACCAATGCAATGTAAAACGTAGTTTAGTTTGGGACACATGTAACTGATAGAGTACAAATAAAGTTTAATAAGAATATGTTTAATTCTTGAGTGAACTTTCTGTTATTCCCATCATTAAAAGTTTTGGTCAATGTTATTCATTTGTACCAGAGAATAGTTACCAACATCAAATGATTTATGGGGTAGGTTCCTTCCCTTTTAAAAATGAATAAAATAATTAGATCATTGCTTATCAGACACTAGTTTATCACTGCATTTGCAGAACAGTTTTTTGGAGGAGGGGATTTTTTTTTTTTTACTACTTCGCTGATTAGGAGAAATCAACATCTTTTGTCTGACTACTTTGTTAAATATTTGAAAAACTTTCACATCAACCTTGTGATGCAGGTCTTTAATTTTACAAACTTCAAAACTGGTATAAAAGATTATCAGTTATTGGTTCATACAGTAGAGTCAAAACTGCTGCTCATGACCTGATTCTAAAGTGTTTCCATAATACCAGTATTAAGGAAAAGTCATGATTCATAGGTTATTTGAGATAATTCTTTTAATTACAATTTACAGAAATGTTTATAAATTTATAAATAAAAACTTAAAAATTCTTACAGAAGTTGTTTAAGCAAGAAATTTCCTCTACATGAGAGAATTCCAAATTGCAAATCTGTTTTCTGTGATTTAAAACAAAAAACACGATAAATTGCTGGTTATGGTGTCACAAGTCTGTAATCCCAGCTACTTGAGAATCTGAGGCAGGAGAATTGCAAGTTTGAGGCAGCCTGGACAACTTAAGTAGACCCTATTTCAAAAAAAAAAAAAAGAGTAAAGAAGGGTTGGGCTGCAGCTTAGTGGAAGAATGTTTGTCTACTATGCATGAGGAGTCTCTTGGTTCAATTCCCATCATTAAAAAGAAAAACCAAAAAACAAAAAAATAAAGCTTAACACGTGTAGGTATAATAATAATATTAGATTCTGTCATTTAAATTATCCAAAAAGCTATTCAGTGTGAATACTATTAAATCTTTCCTGTTTATACTTCTTGCTGAGAACAGAAGAAAGGATCCAGTCTCAAAGTGACTAAAAAATAATTCACATGGTTTCATGTGATCACCTTCAGGGTACAAAGTCTTTTTCTTTAAGAGTCCAAAGATGAGATAAAAAGTCTCTGATTTGAAATCAGAACCGATCTGCTGCTCGGCTAGCCACAGCTCGAATATTGCCATAAACCTTTGATGGAGGATTTCCTGTAAAGGAAAAAATAAGTAGTTTACATACACTGATACACTCACACAGACTCTATGGAAAAAAAGTCTACAACCCTAATAAGACCAAGGACATTTTTTAAATTGGATCTACTTTATATCATGAAAAGAACCTACAGAAAAATATACCCAAATATTCTCAATTAAAGGCACTGAATATCAAGATAATTCAAAAAGGAGCCTGTCAGCAATAGGAGAATCCCCAGGTTTTCTGAGCAACTTGGACTAAAGGAAACAAACTGACTAAAGCTTTTCAGCCTTCCGGTGTTCTCTCTTCTGGAATGTTTTTTATGTACTTACTCAGGAAACAGCACCAGAGATTTAAGTAATATTACCCAATAAAACCTTTATCTTCTCTAGAAGACAAATGAATCTAAGCAAATACTTCAACATTTTTCGCTAGGTCCATATCTGCTAACTTAGAAGAGCTTCTCCACAGTACCTAAACTGCTTTGCAAATGGGGTTTGAATTCCTAAATTCCCTATTATTTCAAGAGAAAATACAAAAAAAAAAAAAGTACACTGCAATTACCCAGGATGAGGTTGCAAATGGCAGTTCTTGCCATCTTGATGTTTTGAAAAGAGCCAAGGATGTGAACTTTCCTGAAAGAGATAAAGTGAGACCAGTTAGCCACAAACAGCATTTCCTTACCTAAATCCTATAATCCAAAGACTCTGCAGAATCATGATAAGATTCCCATTTCTACATGAAGGCAAGGTAATGGCCATGCAACTCTGTAAACATCCTAACAAGTAAATTTTTAAAGAGTGAGTTTTATGATATATGAATTGTATCCCAATAAAAAATTAACAGAAAAGATAAAAATTAAAAACAAACGTAAGATTTCTTTAAGATTCTTTCTTACTAGGGCTACCATTAAGTACTTTCATGTGCTAGGGCTTTATGTATATGTTCACATAATCATCACATAAACTTTACTAGGTAGAAGTTATTCCCATTGCACACATAAGAAAAGAAAGTTATAAGAAATCAAGAAACCTAGGGCTGGAGATGCAGCTTAGGATTAGAACACTTGCCTAGCACATGCACAAGGCTCTGGGGTTCAATCATCAGTACCCAGACTGGGGAGAAATCAAGAAGCCTGTCCAAGACTAGACACTGGCAAAATTGAATGAACACTCAGAAATGCAAGTAAAAGTGTACTTAAATAACATCATACCTCAGTTTCAACTGCAAAGCTTTCTAAAGATTATCAAAATTTCTTTTTTTTTTTTTTTTTGGTGAGGATCACGGGACTGTTTTCAATAGTTATTCATCATGAAATGACTCAAATGATTGGTAATAATTTTGCTTTTTGAGTCCATTTTCACTGTGTCCTCTACAATAGTCATGAGCTAAATCTGCCATATCTTCAACTTCTGTTAACATCCTCTTCACATCATTTCTTAACTAAAAAGTACCTCTCAAATGCAGCCAGTTTTTTTTTCTATGAATCATGTACCACTGAGGCTGAAGGGGACAGGGCCTTCTTGACTTCTCTTGCCATCTTCAGACACTCACCACCTCAAAAACCTTTAGCTCTGAATCTACTCTCTTCAGACCTACTAACCTGCTTTGTTGTGGTCCTCAGCTGTCCCCACAGATCATCCTCAAAAACATTAGCTCACTCCTGGCTCACTGTCTTTGACTACTGTCATCACAATTTCTGATCATTTCAATATCTATGAAGATAACTAACTCCAACACCCTAGCATAACTTACTGGGTCCCTGACATATTTTATACCAATATTGGATCTTGTTTTCCAAGCTACTCCACAAACTTTCACTTCTGTGGTCACAGTCTGGATTTGTCATTACTAAAAACTACAACCACTCCACACTTTCAATTTCAAACATTCAGTCTCCATCACCTTCTGTCATTTCATTTCATACCACTTAATGCACCCATATCAGTAGTCCAGAGCCCCACCAGGACCTCTGATCTATTGATCTTACCAATCTTTACACCTCCCTCAGCTGAACACACTCATCCAATGGCTCCCCACTGACACAGTAACAGCCAAAGTCCTTACAGTGACCCCATGGTGCGGTGATTTCTGTTCACATCCCTAATACCCCTGTGGTGGTACTTTACCAGGCCCATAAGGCTCCTTATGCTGCCAGACATGCCCTCAACTTAGGACCTTCATGTTTTTCCTTCTCTCTAAAATGCTCCTCTTCCAGATACCCGCGGACAGACTCAACACATAAGTATGCTTCTTCCCCAAATGCCACTAAAATGACAGTTCAGACCTAAACCCAAAGGAAGATGATGAAGGTAATACATTCTGGGAGGTGGAAAGCAGAAAGATGTGTGGGAATTAACTTTGTAGACCCAAGTGACCTGACACCTAACTCGGCAGTGGGAACATCCTGAAGCAAAACTCAAGGAAAGAGACACTGGGAACCAAGGATTCTAATAGCAAAAAGGGCAAAGGTGAAAGGAGGAGTATGAGACAGAGAGAGGGTGGGTGGGTGCTTAGGGAACAGAAGGCTCCAGGAGAGATTTCTAAAATGTCTGATGCATCCAAATAGACCAAGAGGAGATATAAATGATGAGTAGCTCTTTGCTGAATCAGTACACTGAAAATTAAGAAAACACACTGACACACCTCCTCAAGTGAAGTCAAAGTTGCAAAGGAGAGAGACCATTTGGTTCGGCTATAGAATATACTGAGCACTGATTTCTGTTTTCATGTGACACTGACCTCGGACTAATGAAAAAACAAAGTGGCTGTATGGTGAAGAATAAGTTGGAAGTGCTAGTGAAGCTGAGTGTATGCAGTGCAGACAGAAGAGGGTGTGAAAGAAAGCTATATCATCTTTCATGGCTGAAAAATAAATTGAGAAGCTGTATGTCAGGAAGACATATGAAATATAGATATAAATAATAATAACAACAGCAACTATTATTATTATTATTATTATTATTATTATGCTGCGGATTGAACCCAGGGCCTTATGCATGCGAGGCAAGCACTCTATCTACCAACTGAGCTATATCCCCAGCCCTATTAATATTATTTTTGAGACAGAGTCTCACATTATCCAGGCTGGCCTCACACTCGCCTTTGACTGCCTCAGCCTCCTAAGTAACTAGGATAACAGGCACCTGCCACTGCACCTGGCTCAATAAAAATACATTTTAAAATTAGCTAAGAGAAATGAAACTTGTTTCCTCTGCAGAGGGTGAAATGGAGGTATATGGCAGACATTTTTGGTTTTTCAAATTACATGTATATCACACTTTGATAAAATGCAGCATGAAAGACGAAGAAGTACAAAAAACAAGAACAGATAAAGTAGGACTACTTTTGCTACTAAAATAACCAAAGTAACCTGGGGTGGGGGTAATAGTTGCAAAGGAATAAAGGACTCAGGGTACATAGGCATCTGATCTGGTATTCTGAATATATCTGAAACAAATTGTTTTTATTTTTATATATTGCTCACATTGTACTACACTTTGCCAGGTTATTAGCAATTCATTAAACTAAAAACAACCACTTACTACTGTATAATAGTCTACTTTATGATTATTTCACAATATAAATTGTTACACATTGGGTTTCCAATTAGTCTATTTATAGCAAAAGCTTATAAAAACAAGCACATCTCTTAAATTTGAAGTAGTTTGTAAATAAGTTTAACAAAAATACAAAAGATATAAAAAGTAATTCTATTGCAACATTATTCATAATACCCCCCAAATGAAATAATCCAAATATCTATCAACTGTGAATGAATATACAAAATGCAATGTCTATTCGATAACAGTTGGCAACAAAAAGGAACTACTACTAACAACATGCTAATTAAAAGAAGTCAAACACCAAAGCCTTTGTCTGTATATTTCTACTTACATGAATTTCTAGAAAGGCAAAACTCAGTGATAGGAAGTAAAGCAGTGCTTCCCTGAGAACACAGTGAGTGAAGGAACATTGAAAAGATGCACAGAGGAACTTTCAGTATGATGAACTATGAGGTTGTGATGGGGCAACAGGACTACATTTCCCAACTCACTGAACCAGACACTTAAATAGGTGAATTTTATCGTATGTAAATTATGCCATAGTAAACTGTTAAAGAATGGTTTAAGTTTTAAGTTAACACTACTAAATTTACAAATTAGCAATTTAACAATAATTAAATTTAAGCCATAACTTCACAAGCAAATAATTTTCATCTTTGGAGTTCTAAATTAACAACTCTAGGCTCAATCCATAAAAGAACAAAGCAGAAAACACTTGGCATCAGGTAGAGGGCCACCAACACAGTATTGTAGTTATCTGTAAAGTACAATGGAAGTCTAAAATTTAGAACCTAAATAATGATGACTCCCTGAGTTTAGAGCAAAAGTGAGATGATCTTAAATGAATTTTTTTCTGGATTTAATTGTAAGCAGGTCCCTCCTCCCTTTAATCAACTGCTTCATTTCTCAACTTCATAGCATTATATAAGCTTCAAGTCATGTACCAGTACAATCCACAACCTGGCAGCAGAGAAGATTCAACCTTAGAGAGGGGTAATCCCAGCTTTGCTTTCAGCACTCTTATCCTCATTAAGCCCATATCATCTTATTTATGTTCACATATAACTACTTGATAGCTATTTTTACCCAATGCACAATATGCACCTTCCTTTTATGAAAGGCCTTGAAATATAAACACACACACACACACACACACACACATATAAATCTACAAAAAATACAAGCTATGGATTTTAAAGGAAAATCTCACAATGGTATTTGAAATACCTACTGCATACTCTCTCCTAACGAATCAATAGATTCCCTGATTAATTTATCTGCAATACAGTTTCTTTTAATAGTGATTCTAAATATTTCTATTATTGCTAAATGAGAAAAAAGTTAAAATTACTAAAATTTTTTTCAACAACTTTAATCTCAAAACAGATGACTACTCATTCAGAACCATATATTGACAAATATTAAGCATAAAATATAACATGACTTTTTTGAAACTAACAAAAGATCAAATATAAATTATGACAAAATAATTTTCTCATGATCAGAAACTTACACATCAGCCAAAACTATCCGCGTCCGCGTCACATTCTCTATGGTGAATTTGGTTTTTCCTCCTTTGCCAGCAATTCTTCCTATTGCCCTTGATAGGTGGTCTCCCTTTAGGGGCTTAACTAGAGAAGAAAAGCAAGACCTCAGGTGGTAACCTACTCCAGGGCATCACCCCATTCCACATAAAGTTTAATCATTAACCAAATTTCCCTATTAAATGATATAAACTTACATTTTTTAAAAAAAAGTGCTAATAACACAGTTCTACTGATGCTATTAGAAAATTTAAAGTTACAACATGATACAAAGTCAGCAATACAAAAGAAAAGTATTTCACAAGAAGACCATGACATGCTTACCATCTGTAATTTCAAAAGACTCTAAGAAGAGGTCATCCAATCTGATGAGGGCAAGAGCATCCTAGAATATAAAAATAAACACTGTGAGGGCAATCTTATTTAGACACCAAGAATGAGTGACAGGAACTAAAATTCAGACTCTAGAGTTAGAAGACAAATTTTTAAAAACTGATTAATCCAATGAAATGTCCACATTGGATATTTTTTAGGTTCCCATTTAAATGTCACGAAATCACTCACCTCCACCTGAAACCCAAGAATAAAGGCTTTCACAAAATCAGCTGCTTTTGTCAGAGCGCTAACATCCTTGGTTTCTTTACAAGTCTGGGTGGGGGAAAAGAATACAGATTTATAGAGAGCAATGAAAAACAAAATAGTTTTAACAAAATACTAGAAATAATTTTTCCCATTATTATAACTCCATTCACCATCACCCTTCTCCAGCATACTCTACAACCCAGTTTTGGGAACACTGTCTTCAGTTTGCAAAACAAAACTTTCCTAGCTCCCTAGCAGGGCAGTTCCACCCAAAGATTGTCAAATGACTGGATGCATTCTATTACTGGTCAGGCTTCTGAGGTTACCACAACATTCTTGTGGCTCAGCCCAAAGGATCACACTCTGAAAGCCCTCCATCTTTTCCACCCTTTCAATGTGCAAGCTCATCATCTTCTCTTCTCCTTCGTCTTCCCTAAGAATCCTGACCTAATTTTCTTTATTCAATTATCTATACGCTGATGTCTTCCAATCAATAACTCTGGTCCTAACTACATACATGCCTGGAACTGAAGGGGAAACCAAGAAAGTTTTAAGGAGGGATTTCGACGTCAAATTATTTACTTAATAATAGCAAAAACAGCCACTATTGATAAAATGCCTACCACTGTAAATAGCATACTTAACACTATACCTCTGATCTATGTAACAACCTTGCAACCTAGAATGTTACATGATATAAATAAGAAAATTTTTTTTTGTATTCATGGGATTGAACTCATGGCCTTGTAATGCTAGACAAGTGCTCTGCCGCTGAGCTATATTCTCAGACCTTAATATTTCAAATTTGAGACAGGATCTTGCCAAGTTGCTCAGGTTGGCTTTGAACTTGCAATCCTCCCGCCTTAGATTCCTGAGTAGTTGGGATTATGGATACACACCACTGTGCCTAGCTAATTATAAATACTTTTATATGTTAGAAAATTAAAATACTAAAAAGTAAAAATAGATAAGATTCAAACACTGACTCCAAAACTATTATTTCTACTTTCCCACCCAGATTCTCAATCTGTTTGAAGAGATCACATATTTGACAAAATCCTGCATTTTGACATTTAAAACTAGACTACAGATACGATTCCTATATAAGACTCCGGGCAAGTCTCGCAGGTACTCCAGGACTTAAGTTTATAAAATAAAGTCAGAAAGGAAGGTCCTAAGTGGTTCCTACTAGCATCAATAGTCACACTGGCCTGATTACTTTGGCCAAGATAATTCATTTCTTTAATGCTGTGTCCTCATTTCTATAACAGTGGAATATAATCATCTAACTCATAGAGCTGCTGCCCTAAAGACCAAATAATGTAGTGCATGTTAAAGTACCACTATGTGCCTGCTATATGGCAGCATCATTGAAGATAACCAAAGTGATGACCCTATAATAAACAAGAGCAAAATACAATAAAAGCTTAGGCACTGAAGAAAAGACTGAAAATGGACTTATAAGGGAGAAAAAACTTGAGCTAGATCTTGAAAGATAACTAGAACTGAAGAAGGAAGAGAAAATGATCAGGGAAGTGAAGACCTTTTTCAGAAAGCAAAGCAACCAAAAAGTATGGACATAAAGAAATGGTGGAGATGAACTTATGATAGGGTCTCCTACATGAAAGGCGGTGAAACACTTAACTTTTATTCTTTAGAAATGCTTAGGAAACCAGGACATCAAAATATAAGTACTGTAGTCTAAGAAAATCTGGCACAAATGACATAGAGAAAGACTTAAAACAATGATGTGGGGGAATTACAAGGAAACAGGAAGTCTTCACATGAAATCATAAACACCTGAATGCAAGTGATGATGGGAACAAAGAGGGGTTCTACCATCACAACCTAAGATATTTTAAAACATACAAATTATTTACAGTTGTGCTTCTTTGTCCTAATGCCAGTATAAGAATCCTCAGAAAGGAAAATACATTAATGTTGGTTACTGATTCTCATACAAAATTGGAACCCAGAAAAAAAAGTCCAAAATAAAATTTTAATGTCTAACTCCTGGAGTGACACCATGGAATGACAACATGTACACATATGTGTGCAACATTCATTCTCAAAGTAACCCAGATCAAAAGCGTACCTTTAAAACATTTTTTAATTTTGAGCCAGGCACAGAGGTTGATGCCTGTAATTCCAGTGACACAGGGAGCTAAGGCAGGAGGATTTCAAGTCCTAGGCTAGCCTCAGCAATTTAGGGAGGCCCAAGCAACTTAGTGACAGCCTATCTCAAAATTTTAAAAATGAAAAAGAGCTGGGGATGTGGCTCAGTGGTAAAGCACTCCTGGCTTCAATCCACAGTACCAAAAATAAATAAAAAGGCAAATGAATAAAGTGTTTTGTACTACAGCAAGGACTTAAATTTATCATTTATACACTTGGTTGTATGGCAATCTCTTTACTCTGCTTTTCTTCAACACAAAACATTATAGAAAATACACACAGGTAGCCAGTATTTTAATATGATCTCGGAATCAATTCTGGAATGCAATTTGAATTTGTATTAAATGCAGATTCTGAATACACTTGGTAAGTTCAGACTCATTATGATATACTTAAAAACTGAAGAAAACCATTTAATGAAACAGGTCCCTTGAAGGAAAATCTGCTTGTACTTTTTCATCCCTGGAGTAGAGAAAAACTTGGTGTATATGGAAATAGTTGACATTCTCCTTACCCTGATTTCTACATTTCTTGATTTCAAATTAAAGCGTATCTGAAGTCCCAAATGTTCTACAATAGGAGTAAATATCTTCATCCAGTTTTCTTTTAATGGTGTGTATCTGTTCGCGGGGACTGGAATTTTCCGCGTTTCTTCTTTTCCACCCTGCAATTAAAGGGAAAAAAAACAACAACTCAGGAGACGCGAGGAGGAATGAGGGTGGAGGGCGGGGTTGTAAAATGACAGCAGACTTATAAAACGCTGCTTTTTAACCAAGTTAAGCTTCAGAAGAGTCACTTCACGGCAACAGAGCCCCCACATTCAATATCATGCAAAGACTACCAGCCTGATCAGCCTCTGGTCCCCCAACAAGTACCACAAGTCCGTCCCCAGAGAGGGGCGGGAAGACGGGCCTCTTCGCTGGCCGGGCCTCTTCGGTGTCCATGCAGCCCGCGTCCCCACTCTCCTCTGCTGCGGACAGTTGCGCTGCCTGTCGTTTCTTCGCCCGCCGGCCTCCCTTGCGGGTGACCTGGGTGAAGCCATCCTCAGCCCCAGCGCTCAGCGTCTCCATCTCGGCCATCTCGACGGCGGACTAGAAGTTCCGACTCTAACACGTGCGCTTCTGCACTACGCAGGCGCGCCGCACAGGAGCCAGCCTTCGCCAATCAACACCGGGGCTCCGCCCCCTTTCTAAGAGGTCCCATGCCGGGTCCTGAAGCAGAATTTGTGAGAGCGTATGCCTGAGCTGTCCTAAAATATGCCTGATTCCTAGGGTTGCCTTCTAGCCGTTCAACTCACAGCCAAGCCACTTAATAATCTCTAACATGTGTATGTGTGAGGATGGTTGGTAAAAGCGATAAATCATTTGTTGTGTTTGTGCAGAAACGTCTCGTGCGATCTCAGTAATACATCTGTCCTTTTTGGAGAAAACGATGTCCAACTTGTTAGGGCTTTTGGAGACCAAGTACGGCTAGCGGGAAGGACAAACTGTCTTTAATGTTTGGAGCCTGGTTTCCAGGTTAGTTTTTTGTCTGGGTGTGGCTGTTGTTAGAAGTGAAATCAGCTAAACTATGTCGGCTTTCGAGAAGCCTCAGATCATTGCCCATATCCAGAAAGGCCTCAACTACACGGTGTTTGACTGTAAGTGGGTGCCTTGCAGCGCCAAATTTGTGACGATGGGCAATTTCGCTCGGGGCACTGGCGTCATTCAGCTGTACGAGATCCAACACGGCGACTTGAAGCTGCTTCGGGAGGTGGGTGCCGGTCGAGATGACCTAATTCCAGGCTACGGACTGCCTTTGAGGGCGAGTGCATCTCCTGGGGTCATTCCTGGCGAATACATTCCTCTTTGTCACAGTCTTCGTCCAGCGCCCCCCAAAAGCATATCTTGAGTTGCGCGGGACGAAAGAAGCTGATTGCAGATTGAGAAATGCTTCGGATTTAAAGCATGTCTTTCAAGTCCTGACTTCTCATCCGCGGGCTACTACCTACATGCCCTGCCAACCCCTTCCCGCCAACCCAAGTGACGTTAAGATTTCACAAGTAATTCAGGACTTTTTAGGCATTTTGCAATTGTTTGTAGAAGAGTATTTAGTAAGCACATGTAAGAAATGACTGTTCATTCAAGTAGAGCCAAAACAGGCACCAGCATACCTGCATTGTAGTTGAAAGAGAAACCTAACACTTATTCTTTCAACTAGAGTCAACCGAGTGCCTGGTATGCCCAGGCATGTGAATGGCAATGTTGCCTCTCCCATGGTGTTTATTTTCTAGGGGGAGGGATAATCAGTTTAATACAAACCAAAACGCATAAATCAAACCGATTTCTCTAACGCAAACAAACACGGTTCTGTGAGAATAAAAACAGATTTGGACTGAATAGATGCTAACTAGAGTAGAGAATGACGTTTCCAGAGGAAACAGCATGTGTGGAAGCTCAGTGATGGAAGATGGTTTATATCCTTAAGAAATAATAACAGTAAGTAGCAACCAGTTGCAAGATCTGTAGAACATTTTAAAATGTATCTCTTTTTAAAGGAAGAAAAATAGGACATTCTTGCAGGGTGTAGCAAGATAAGAGTTACAAGTTTTGTAAAGATTAATAATGAAAGAATTAGAGAATAATGACACTAGCATTTGAATTTTTTTTTTTGGGGGGGGGGAAACAGGGTCTTGCTATATTGCCCAGACTGGTTTTGAATTTGGGATCCTTTCCACATCTTGAGTAGCTTTAACTACAAGCACACAATACCATGCCAGACTAATAATTAGTATCTTATAGCTGTTTACAATTTTTAAAATGTCTCGATTTGGTTCCCTGATAAAAAAAATTATCAGCCTTAACCAGGTGCATGCATAGAGTTTTAATAGACTTCCAGGGCAGGGAAAGTTGAGAAACTCTAGGAATCAAAAGCTAGGAAGAGAACCAACTTGAAGGAGACAGATGAATACCATTTGGATAGGTCAACTTAGATAAGAAGGTATTTGAGGTGCTACCTACTCTAAACTTTCCCGAGTGCCTGTTTTCTTGTTTAGTTTGTTCTCTAGCCAGGAATTCTACTCAGATTCCAAACATGGCTTGTTTTTTTCCACCTTTCCTTATGTTCTTCATCACTTAGCTTCCAGTTCTTTTATTTTTTTATTTTTTTGTACTGGAGATTGAACCTAGGGACACTTTACCACTGAGCCACATCCCTGGTCCTTTTTACATTTTTGTTTTGAGACAGGGTTTCAGTAAGTTGCTGGGTCTGCCTAAGTTGCTGAGGCTGACCTTGAACTTGTGATCCTCCCGTCTCAGCCTCCTGAGTTGCTGTATTAGTATATCACCATACCTGGCCACCTGTTGCTGTTCCAGTGCCCACTTTAGATGATCTGATGTGTGAAGACCTTCCTGATCTGCACCCAAAGTAACTTTTCTTTACATTGCATTCCTATAGTACTTATCATCTGTGCAGAAATATATATTCTGAACCATTTCTGTCTGACTAGATTGGACAATGTGTGTGTGTGTGTGTGTGTGTGTGTGTGTGTGTGTGTATGTGTGTGTGTGTGTATTTTTAGTATGGTTTGTAAGACACAGCTACTCTATAAACTATTTATTAAAAGGATGAGTGAACGTATGTCTATAAATAGGATATAAGTTGGGAATTTTCAATATTGATTTAATGATTATTAGTCAAGTTGGGGCCAGGTACTTGAACAAATGGGAAACATTGAAATACCAGAAACCTAAAAATGAAGTATTAGGAACAAGTGCTAATTGGAGTTCAACCAGAAAGCATCTGTAGACTTGTGACCTTTTTATTAATAAGAATTATGATTTGTACATATTTCAGTTATACAATTATTTCAGCAAGTGAATAGCATTCTTTATCTCTTAAAGTTTCTAGATAATTCTAGCAAATCACATTTTTTAAACTAAAGTAGTATCTGTTCATAATAGAACACTTAGAAAATACAGATAGGAAAAAGAAGAAAGTATCACCCATAATCTCAATCTTGGGTATAACCACTTTTAAAATTTTCAACTTAATCCTTAGATCTTCTTTTTTTCTACTATCAATTACTGAGAACTTTCTGTTTCAAGATTCTGTGCTAAAAAAGGGCCAAAGGTACTTGGGAGATGAGTCTCTTCTCATAAAAAGCCTACTGCCTAAAAAGAGGATAAAGCAAATAAAAATGCATTCAAGAACTTCAGTTATATTTAGCTATAGTGAAAAGAGAACAGCTTCTTTGATTCACACCTCTTACTGTGCATCAGAATCATCTGAGTTTGTTTTGTTGCTGTTATTGTTTATTAGTGTACATGTTTTAAAATGTTGATGTCTTGGTCCCACCCATAAAAATTCTTGATGCAGTGGTAGTTTGTTGCATCTAGTCTAATCTAAAGTCTTGACATTGTTTTTTTTTTTTTTTTGTGCCAGGTGATTCTAATGATTACTGGAGTTGAGAAACATTGGGCCAGATAGATAATTTATTAAAATATTAGGAAACATACTTTATTTATCATGTTGGAGCTATTGAAGACATGCTCCAAAGTCTATGCACCTAAGATAAGATGTAAAGGAAGCAAGTCAGTCTTTGTTGATGTCACCCTTGTCTCATTACTCAAAGGACTGGTAGGGAACAGAGTACAGGACCTCCAAGTACAGTTGAAAAGTTTATTGTACAACATCAAGTATGAGTAGCCGGTGTTTTCATCTTTTTTCCCTTCAGCAAGTCTTCCCTGTGTGAGACTTCATCAGTTTATAAAGTGCCACTTTTTTTCTAATTGGCACAGAAGTACCATAAGGACAGGGATGGCCCTGAAAAATGGAATCATGCTTGTGGATGTTTATACTATAAAAATTAGTAGTAACCTAATAAAGTTCTGCTTTTTTAGCCCCCATGCAACTGAATTCATTGCTTGTTAGCATTTGGTTGACTAACCTTTTAATGTTAATTAAGTAGTGCCAGGATGTGGAGGAGGAAATACTGACAAGCTGTACTAGACCCACCCACAGACAGAACAAAAATAGCTTGCATGGGAATTATCGATCATGGGCTTCTGTAATCATGTTAACATATCATTGTAGCAAAGAATACCAAAAGCTAAGTCAGGTAAACCATCACTGATTGTCTTTTCAGTATCAAATAGCAAAAATCATTTATATTACTGGGTGTGTGTGTGTGTGTGTGTGTGTGTGTGTGTGTGTGTGTGTGAGAGAGAGAGAGAGAGAGAGAGAGAGAGAGAATCTTCAGCCAAATAGATCTCCATTTAATTTTAACCGGTCAGTTTTCTGGAAAGAAAAAATTTTAAGTCATTAATAAATTCTGTGCATATTTTCTTTTCCATAAGTAAAATACTTGACAATTAGAGAGGGAGACCTTTTGTGAAATATAAAAAATAAGTTTCCATAGTGTCATCTCAGTTTAGTTGCTATTATGATCTCCATGAATATTTGAGGAAAGAGAAACAGGTGCCTGTTTTTAGGAGTCTGTTTTCTCACAAGCTCAGCCCTTCTGTGCAAAATGCAGACCTCACTGCATGCAGATGACAAGGTGTTAATATATTTTTATTTGCTTTTAATATATTTTGAGTTTAATTTGATTCTTGCCCAACAGATCATTAGTACCTATACAACTGTGCTTCTTTGATACAAAAAGACAGAAAGAACACATGGGAGCATAATATCATATATTGATCCTGTAAAGGTATGAATGAGAGCAAGGTATGGTGGTATATACCTCAGTGACTCAGAAGGCTGAGGCAGGAGGATCACAAGTTCAAGGCCAGCCTTAGAAACTTAGTAAGACCCTGTCTCAAATTTTTAAAAATATATAAAAAGGACTGGGGATATGGCTCAGTGGTAAAGCACAGATGGATTAAATCTCATTCCCTCCCCACCCCCCCAAAAAAGACACAAATAAGGATAAAATACAGAGAAATATGAATGTAGGTTTAATTCATACCTGCGCCATTTAGCTCACTAATTCATTTTAGGACTGGCTCATTTATTTGGTATTTGGGATATGACTCTTGTTTATAGAATGAGGATTATATAATAATAAAATTGTCATTTAATGAACTCACGTATAGACCTGTCATAAGTAGCTTCCTTTAAAATAAAGAACTTGGAGACTACCTGGCTATTGGGACTTAAAGCGAGTC